ATAATACGCAATCACGACGGCACTGAGCCGATCGCGAAAATGGAGTAAATCACGCGAACAACGTTCTCCCGCCCGCACGACTACTTCTTACACGCAATTACCGAAACACGCATCCGAACATAACTATCCTGACACGCATAACTTTCTAAGACAATTAGCCCACCTAAACGGCACGTGACGCGATTGATGTGCCGACGCGGACGACATTCCGACCTACGCAATATTTGGTAATTCGATACGCCGTGAACACCGTGTGCGCGAGACGCAACCGCGAGCACGGACATTACACGAAAACGGACTCGCATTACCGGATTTCGCCAACGCATCTATCGCGATCTCCAGAGGCTTGTTATCACATCGTTATTGTGATTCCGCGGCCACGATACCATCCCGAGGCCCTTCGCTCTCGCTGTCGATCGCCATTCGATACTCGGTCTCAAGGAACCGTACGTGTCGCGATATTAAAACGTAATCCTGGACAAGAGCGCGCACCGGAGGGCGGCGTCGTGGCGTTACATGTCGGTATTAACTACTTGCGGGCAACCTCACCGATGCGATGCCTTCTCGTAGGGCTCCTCGCCGTCACCTCGTACCAAGGATCGTCGCAGGACGATATGAATATTTGACTCGGGGCGGTTATCGCGAATCAGAAGGAAACTTTGATAGCGTTCGGACTTGCCGACGGACGACCAGAGAGTGTCTCGCTAAATTCGCTCGATTGCGGAATCGATGTGGCACCCCCTTCCGTAGGGGCGCGCCAACCAATCGGGAGCGAGCTTGCAAGCTCGCGCGATAATTTAACGCAGGATCGTCGTAAGGTGGATCCTTCGGGGGCGCGCAACGGTCCCTCGGCGGCGTAGCGACTCCTTCAATTCGTTCCTGGACAGCGGACTGGACTTCGTTCTAGCCGGTGTGCCTCCGGTTTGACCTCGGGGCGGTGATCAGTCACCTCGCGGGCCGGTATTTCGTGGAGGCAGATTGCTGAGGCCGGGTTTTCCCCAGGCGCCTGGGGCCCCGCTATCGTCGGCCTTGTCCATCGCTGTCTCACGCGCCACACGCCTGCCGCGTTGCTCTCGCCGCCCGGGATCCCAGTGGTTTCCGCTTTCGCCCTCGCCACCCCTCCTCGGTCCTTGGTCCTCCCGGACCCTTCCGCTACGTGTATTCCCTCGAAGATTCGTCGTGGTGGGGTGAGGCGCCGCGCGTATTACAATTGCATAAAAATAAAACAAATAGTCAAAACGCGGAAATGATATAAATTTTTGGCCTCTAGAGATCTTGTCGTCGCCTCCCTGGCTCGTCCCTGGGCGCGAATTTCCGCGCCTTGTGACGGCGGCGGGACGCTGCCACAAAACGGCGGGCCGCAACGTCACAATACATACATACATTTATAATGTTGTATTCGCGCCGCATGTCAGTAAGGTTTCCGCTAACTGACTATACTACTGAAACAGTGTTACTAAAACACAAAAATTAAAATGTATTACCTAGAAATCTTTATCGGTACCAACATTATCTCCTCTTCTTTTAAGGAAAATGTCGTGTAACCGGCGATGCTATCGCGGTTATTCCGCTGGGATGGCGGCGGGGCCGATCTAGCGCGAGTCCGACTACCGCGAAACGCGCGGTGGAGACAGAGTACGGAGGCTCTACCCCCGAGGAAGGCTGCGAGCGGCTAGATCGGGGAAAAAGAGAGGCGCGAGTCCAACCACCGAGAAGCGCTCGGTGGAGGCAGAGACGCGCTCTGCTCCCGTTCGGATAACCCCGTGGACGAGAAGGCTGGTCGTCTATCGAGACACACTCGGTGAAGGCAGGGAATGCCAAAGGCTCTTTACCCTTGTTCGGACTAGCGTTGGATAGGTCGGTGCGTGAATTCAGGATCGGTGCGGTCGGTGAGACGAATGATCAGGGAATCGCTCTTTGCGTTAAAAACGCTCGGCTTGTGACGATACGCGCATTGTCACTAGCGCTACGGCCCTGGCGGCTACCAAGCACATGTTCAGCGTGCGCTCCTGTGTCCGAGCGGTAGGGCAGCCGAGCGGTGGGGCAGCCCCAGCGGTGGGGCAGCCTCCACCGCCCGCACTCGGGGTATAAATAGGGGACTCGAGCCAACTCGAGCCACCAGTCCTGTCCGACTCCTGTTCCCGGCACGACCGCTCTCCGAGACCGCTTCACCACGTTGGGCGCTCCCAACGACTGCCTCCGTACAGAGAACGGGTGCTCCCGTTCTCACCTGGGCGCTCCCAGGGTACGGGCCTCCCCAGCTGGGTGCTCCCGGTTGGTATTACCTGCCCTTTCCTGCCTTTGGGTCGGGCGCTCCCGACCCTTTCCGCCGTACGGAAGACGGGCGCTCCCGGTGTACGGGCCGCTCAGTTGGGCGCTCCCGACTAAGCTCCTGACCGACCTACCTGCCCGCGAATTCGTAAGGCAACTGTGCCTCCGCACCGGTCCGCGAATCCGTAAGGCAACCGTGCCTCTGTACTTGCCCGCGAATCCGTCAGGCAACCGCGCCTCCGCGCCTATCCGCGAGTCCGTCTCTGTCCAACCACGCCTCAACCCGGCACACGTACACTGCGGCTCAGCGGAGCAACACACACACACGCACCGACACTCACGCCCTCCATCCAACTGTATTGTAAATAGTGAGAATAAATAGCTTTATGTAAAACTAACCAGTGTCTCCACGTTTTCTCACCCTGACCTGGCAAGCGAACTCCGAGCGAGAAAACGCGAACGTTACAGGCTTATATACCTGCCGCGGCGGCGTTACGGAGCGGCGGGAGTAGCGACGGCAATCGCGAGCGTCGGGACGGTGCGGCGGAACGGTCGGGGATTACGGCGTCCCGACGCCGCGATTGCGCTCGGCGTTCTTCGGTCGCGTTCGGCACCGCTCGGCGCTTCGAGATGGTTCCCAGGTAACATAGGAGAATGCAACAAGCATTTCACATTCCAGCAACTGTAGATAAGCTACAACTGGTCTCCCTACGTTCCTCAGTGTTAACAAGTAGTAATCAACAGTAACACAGTAAAAAAGATCTTTGATGAGGAAGCTTGTTTGCTCCTATAGTATCTTAATTGAGTCCAAACACTGTTTCTCGATTTTATTGCCTCATGGTAGGTCGAAAGTGACTACATTGTAGTATATCGATAGTAGCTCACATACCGTGCACTCTTCTACTGAGTAACAGTAGATCGAAAGTAGCTCTCATTTCATGCTCGCTTCTACCAGTCTACAATAGGTCAAAAATGACTCGTATTTCGTTCCTTCTTCTCTAGCACTACAGTAGATCGAAAGTAGCTCATATTTTATGCCCGCTTCTACCGCACTACAATAGATAAAATGTATCCTACATTCTTGTCTTTTTATAATTTCAATAAATACAATACTAAAAAATCCATTGTAAAATACCATATAATTATATAGTATCAATCATGTTATTGTTTAAAAGGCCACTTATGTCTAAAAAATAGCTTTCGAGACAAAATTAAGATGGATACTATATAGTTGTATACAGTACCTTATACCTGTATATGTACACAAGTCATTTAGTATTGAGATGTACTATAAGGAATTGAAAACAGCATATGTCTCATGCTTGAATCTTCCGATGTACAGAAATAGCTCTACAACTGACAGTGACAGACATATTTCAAAATCTGCAAAATTTATTGGCAAAATTTTGTAATTAATTTTTATCGTCAAACAAGAGATTCAAAATAGTATACAAAATATCCTGCGAAGCTGCTAAACTCTTAAATAAACAATGTGAGTACAACAAATAAGGAAAAAATATATATTTAAGTTTTATTTTATCACAATCTGTTATGTTACAGATATTTATTACAGTTATTTATTTATATCACAAGAAATATTATTTATAACACAAATAAATTATCGTATTATATTAAATAGCTTATCATATCATATGAAGCGTTAGGATAATTATTCGATTACTCTCGATTACCAGCGCCAGCTACCGCATAGTTAGCCGCAAGCTCCTCTTCCACTTTAGATCGTTGCAAAGCACTGGAGCTTCCTTGCACTGCTCTTTGTTGAACCATGTAGTGACGCTGTTGTGCATTTTTTATTACCTTGGCCATTTCCACTTCAAACTTTTTAACAGAGGTATTTTTAAATTGTTCGATTTGTCGGAGAGCACCTGCAATAAAAATATGTTCATATAATTAAGTTCAGGATTTGCTTTGTCACATATTGAATTTATTTTTACCTCAGAAATTGACTGAAAAAAAATTAGAAACGTATTAATTAATAATGATGAGTTAAAATTGTAACAACATTAATATAAGTATATACGTAGATCAGAAGTGGGAAAATGTCGCTCCAGAAGCAATATTTTTCCACTCTGGTCTAAAGGGTGCGTCTTACCTAAAATAAAATAATATAAAGTAATTTTTACCATAATATTGTAGACTTAAAGGCGTTTCCCGAAACCGAATTTTTTTTTCACCTTCTTTCCATGTAAAAGATGTCTTAATTAATTTGTCCGTTACACTTGCCTGCAAGAAGCCATCTAATGCATTTGAAATGTTCAGTCCTCCAAGAAGGATAAAATATTGCTCCTGAAAAGTTTCAAAATACATATCGGTAGAATAATAAAAATAAATATCATGTACGTGTATATATATCCACACATTTAATTTAAAAGCATTATATTTTAACTTACCAAAATGGATAATGCTTTTTCGTCTTTTATTAAAATCTGAAACTGTTCTACAGTTTGCACCGGAAGGTTCAATTGCTGAACAGCTCGTATAATATCTTTACTACTTTTTTGTTTGTTTTCCAAATTATTTATTTTTTGCAATATTTTATCTTGTCCCTTTTTTATTTTCCTAAAAAATTATATTTGTTTATTTATATTTTATTAGAATGTTAAATTATATGCTTATATATAAATAGCACTTACTTTATTTCAGTTAGTATTAATTTTAAAATCGACAGATGATTATTATTTAAAAGTGACAGATCTATATAATTTTCTTCATCCGCTGCTTTATGCTTTAATGCATTGTCGTTTGAAATGTTTTCCTTATTTCTATTTAAGTTGGCATCTGAAAATTGCATTATCAAAATATATTATTATTTATTACTATTATTATCATCTTTATTTAAGGGCGAGGCACAGCTTAAACGTGGAGATTAGATGAAAGAGCCGATGGATTCAATACTTCGCCAGACTTATAGTCGGGTCGAAGTAATAAACAATATTTATATAGAAATCCTAAAGCGTAAATTATTACATTACACAGACCTTGCATTTTTCTTTTTTTTTTTTTTATTCAATTTTTCTCCACATTCTCCGTTTTTATTTCTTGTTAAAGCCAGGGTAAAATTTGAAATATCCTGTAGTTGCTGGTCTAATATATCACCTTCAGTCGGCATAAAATCCTTTTCTACGAGTGTGACTTGAGGACCTTGAGGTTCCATAACATAAACAGTGCTTCGCTGCCTGAAAGCCAACAATGTATTGTTACAAAACATGGTAGGCAACGGACGTCTTGACGCCTATCATATTTTCTGGGTTGTCTTTTAGATTATTATAAATAATCATTTATTTATTTTTTTGGACATATAATATCGTGTAATACAATATAAATATCGTGTAGATAGGATAAACTCACTCAGTTGTACAAATTACACTTCCAAAGGGACGAGTGATTCCTCTTTCACACTGCTTTGCTTCATAAAAAGAAAGAGGCCCAATGCTCTATCTCGTGGCTCTTCGCGGCCCTCGCCAGCTGATCTATTAGGATCGCCTCCCGTTTGATGAAAATTCCAGTTAATAATCGCTCTTTCTCTATTGCGTACACAATACTCGTAGAAAACACTCACTTCGTATCCGAATCACTCAGAGATGGGAGACGAAGTTCCCTCTACAAATCCCGTCAAAAGATGGCCACCGAGCACACACGTACGACGTATACCGTCCTATGGTGCGTATCAGCATATCCCTTCTACTCATCTTTCGACAGGGCCGTGTCGTCCCTGGCATAAGGCTAAATCCCCAACGCTGCGGAACGCTCGTGATTGGCTCCGCTCTCGTTCGCTCTCGTCGCGCGTCGCTTCAAGACCATGAGAGCAAGTGAAAGCAAGATATTTTTATTTTATTTTTAATTTTTTTTTTATTAATAATATTTTTATTATTTATATTATACTAGACACTACAGACGCGCGCGCTTCGCGCGCGCCATTTAGCTTTAACATTATGCTATTAATAATAATCGCGACACGACGCGAGCTGTCACATCACGACACACACCACGCACTACACGCACGAAACTCGCCACACTCCGCGATGACAGTCCGTCACGGGATGAAGCAAGCTACGGCGCGGCAATCAATCGAGATAGCCAATCGGCATCGCGGAAAAAAGGCTTCAATTTTACGATACAAACGAAATTCACTCAGGTAACACGCTTTTTTTAAAAATGGATTATTTTTATTTAAAAATTGAATATTGTTGAAACTTAGTTTTACATATTTATCATACTTTTACATATATGTTACACATGTTTATAATAATTTAATGCAGCCATTCATCATTGTAAATTGCTGCAACAACTGACATGTTAACCTCAAAACATTTTTCACAATTTCTCCAAAAAGGCATTTTGTATCTTTTATATTTAATGTCATTCGGTAAAATATCTAAATATATATTTCCTAATTCGCTACATTTAAAAATATCAACATGTGTTAAATTTAAATTTTCATCGATTACATAAAGAGGCTCAATTATATTAAATTTTCTACCTACAAGCCAATAGGTGCCGTCACTGTATTTTAAAATATTATCAATGATAACAATTCTACCGTCATGTAAAATACAGCAGTTATTTTTATTATCTACATCATACGTAAAATTATTAATTTTAATCCGATGAAATTGCAGTAATAATTTATTTGTTATTATAACAGGTTTATTATTTCTGTGGTAATTTTTTTCGGGCCATAAGCGGTAATTATTTTACTTGATTTAAGTAATGTAGGAGATATTGCATCATTTATTATATTTTTTTCGTAGCGATTATAAATTTGAATTAATTCCTTTGTTCGACTCCTAATAATCTTTCGGAAAAATGTCATATTATTTTCAAATGGAAAGCATGAAAAATGATCCAGGAGGCCTTTGCGGACATAGACAAAAAATTTTTTACCTTAATAGCCAATTGTAATTAACAATTTTAGTTTGTAAATAGTCGTAAGCAATCAAAAATGACTGATTTTTTTTTAAATTTCTGTAATATTGTTGGGGATTCCCCCAATTTATTAATATAAAAATTGTATCCGTCCGTTATATGTACTGCGAGATACTTTTCTTCTGCTTCTCACGCAAAATTATCGATAAGTTCGGAACCGCCGGAAGGAGCCGATCCGCGCCGAAGGCGAGCGCGCGTCAGCATCCCCACGCGGCTCGCCCGACCGCCGGCCTCCCTTCCAACGAACCCGCCGCGTCGGGGTATTTAAGTCGGCGCTCCGACAGGAGCCGGCACTTCGTCTTATCTCCGGCTCTCTGCTGCCTTCGACGAAGCCTACCCTATCCAACTTCCTAGGGCGACACATAAAACGAGGTCCGGTGCTCCGAGTCTCGACTGAGAGCTCTCAGGTGTCCCCGAACTCCAGCCTACCAAACCGACGATCACGATCCCGCGGGGTCGAGCACGCTCGGCCTCGTAGCGAGCCCTCTCGCTGTCGTGGATCCGGTGCTTCGCTTCCTGCCGTATCCACCTACCGCGTCTCTGTAGGCATCGGACGTTAGACCGCGTTTCGCAACTCCGTCACACCGCGACAATTGCATTCGTGATACCGTCTCTCGTTTCTACCGCGTTTCTGTGCGCACTTTATGTAAAACCGCACTTTAAAGACTACAAGTCACAGCGCGCCGAGTGCATTCGCACTAGTTTGTCTGTACATCTCGCGTTTCGTCAGTTTTGTTTTATTATATCGAATAAAGTTTATATATATTATAAGTCAATTGCTGTCTTTTGGGCCTTCTACTCAAATTCCTAACAAGCGATCGAGTCCGCGTTCAAGCTGAAACCCCGGTCGTCTCATAGTTGAAAGGCTGAGCGAAGCCTTTCGCGATATCTCGCGTTCTCGCGGAACGAATTTGGCGATTCGTTCGGCGCGTTTATTGCGCGCCCGAACAAATATTCATGCCAAAAATCGCTCTAAACCTTATAATGCACAGACAAATTTTTTTCTTACCATTTTTTTCATGAAGTTTTAAAGTATATAACTTTTACACATGTAAAGATTTTGAACCCAAGTTTTCTCCACATTATAACATCCCTTTTGGATGAAGAAAAACGCTTATCATGAATATGTAATAATGGTGTGCTGAATATGGCGGTCATTCTTCTGTATTGTAAACACTGAATCCCATAAGCGTGCTTTACGTTGTTGTTTAAAAAAATGGCTGAGAGATGTCAAGGTTCTATTAATTTTATATTTTTAAATGAACATTCTACTTCATGGATCCATTGGTTTTAATTGCCCGTAGCTGCCCGTTCACGAAACAAAGAAGAAATGTAAAGGAAAAAACGTGATATGAGAACGCGTTGTTTGTTGTACTTCGTCATGGGTAGCGACTGTGTTTATACACGACTTAAAGGTGTTTAACCGAACTTCTGTTCGGGGCAGCTAGGGACGCGCAACAGTCGCTACTCATGATGGGAACCCATGATCGCCTTCGGCTCGGGCGGCAAACTTCACACTTGTCTGGAAAAGGCTACTTTTGCCCCTTGATGAACAATATACTATTTTTGTTTTTTACCATCTTCCTGATTGTAAGAGACGCTGTTAGGTGTATCAACGCACTAATGCTAACGCTTTTGTGTAGCCATATTCAAAGGTAAACAATGGATCTTTTTACGAGTACAGTAAAAATACTATAAAGTGTATTCTTTTGTTTATTCAGGTTATGAAACATTAAGTTACCATGAAAAGTTTGACATACTACGATCTGTTCTTGTTCCTCCGAAATTCTAGTCATGGTTTCACAATGCAAGAGAATTTAATTAAATTCGTTTCGAAAGAATATGAACTCAATTTATCAAACCAATCCGAAAACAAGTTGAGAGATTTATTACGAATATTTTGTAAAAATCTTTCTTTGAGATGGCAAAAATCAAATAAAACACTGGAAAATTTCACAAAAAAGAATAAATCATGGCTTCAACGAGTTTTAAAATTTTCCGATAATTTTTTTAATTATTCAAGCGAATCTGCTTCTACTACTAGTTCATCGTCTCATAACAAATCATTTGATAAAATTACTGATAGACATAAACGGAGGCGAACAGAGAATTTACGAGCTCTAATTCGACAGAAATTCTCCTGTATGCTGCGAAACAAAAATTAGTGATGGATCTTCTGATTTTGCAAAGGTATTGGATTATTTGATTAAAAATCCGAGTGAAATTGGACGAGTTAGGGCATTTTGTAAAAATAAAATTAAAATGCCTTTGTTTTCGAGAGAAAAATGCTTAGCATTATTTCTCAGCTTGAATCTATCAAAAGAACAATACATTGAATTACAAAAAACTTGTATTGAGAGCGGGACTAATCAATGGCAATCATATTATGAAATACAACAAGCAAAATTAGAATGTTATCCGAGAGATAAAGTAACGATCACCGAAACTTCAGCATCGATCGAATTACAAGCTCTGCTTGAGCACACAATTAAAAGACTGTTTAAAGTTTGCAAAGAAAAATTGGATTCATACAGTAATTTGACATTAATTTGTAAATGGGGCTTTGATGGTGCATCCAGTCAAAGCATGTACAAACAACGATTCGTAGACGAAAATGCATCAGATAGCTCCGTTTTTATCACAAGTTTTGTTCCCATAAAATTAATAAATGGTTTTAATGTTGTATGGGTGAATCCAAATCCATCTTCCACTAGATATTGTCGTCCAATCAGATTCGAATTCATTCATAAAAACGCGGAAATTTGTAAGAAAGGATACGAAAGAATGGAACAAGAAATAAAGAATTTAGTACCAACCGAATGCGAAAACATAATTGTTAATTATGAGATGCTTTTTACAATGATAGATGGCAAAGTATGCACAACTTTATCGGATGTTACATCATCTAATGCGTCATGTTATCTTTGCGGTGCGAAACCGAGTAAAATGAACAATATTGACAAAGTTATAATGAGGGACATTGATGAAAAAACTTGTAATTTTGGCATATCGAATCTTCATGCAAGAATTCGACGCATGGAGCTTCTACTTCATGTATCATATAATTCATCCTTTGAAAAGTGGAGTGTACGCGATCCAAATCTAAAGAAACAACGTGAGGAAACTAAAAGGAGGATTCAGCAAGAGTTCAAGAAAAATCTGGGATTGCTTGTTAATATTGTAAAACAAGGTTCAGGACTGACAAATGATGGAAACACTGCACGAAAGTTTTTTTCGGAAATTGAAACAACTGCAAAAATCACTGGATTACAAGAATCACTCTTTAAGAGATTTGCCGTCATTTTATAAGCAATTTTTTGCGGAGAAAGAGTAGACGCCAAAATTCATAAATTGTTAATCCATGGAGAGGCAATAATTTCACACTTTTCTATTCCTATTGGTCATTTATCTGAAAAAGCGAGCGAAGCCCGGAATAAAGAATTCAGGCAATACAGAAGAGATCACACGCGCAAAATTAATAGAATTGCTACGAATGA